CCAGGTAGAACTTTTCAATCAGCTCCTCTGATCCTAAAAGTCCCGGAGTGTCGATCACTGTGATCCGCTTCCCAAACCTCTGTCCCGTTTCCTCTCCGATTCCTGTCGTCACCGCTTTGAGGGAAGCCCTCGACTCGAACGCCGCTCGGCCTAAGATGGTGTTTGCAGAAGCGCTTTTCCCCACAGCGGTGTTTCCCAGCAGGACGATGGAGACACCTGGACAGACAGAAGGAACATGATGAAGAGCAGTGACAGGTAGACAGCCCGTCTGCACTGCTGCTGCCTCACAGTCACACGCAGTGAGTTTAGGATGATTTCACATATTTATCAGCAACAGAAGAACTCGCAGCCTGACGCGGCTACAGCCTCGTGGTTGATGCCCTCTGAGGGCAAACGTGGCGCTCATACTGATGTCATGATTATTCCTCCTCACACTGAGGTGACGGCACTGATGTGTCCAAAGCAGCAGCTGAAAGAACAAATGTGAACGTTCATATAGAGTCACTGCTTCTGTCTAACAGTGACCCTCTGACGGCTGCACCAGCATGTCGCCCAGACGGAGATCAAACCCCCAACCTTGTTATCAGTAGGTGACCACCTGAGCTACAGCCAATCAGAGCTGCGGCTGTGTCGGCCGGACCTGTAGGTTGTTACTTTTCATTGGCTTTGACCTGTTTCCAGCAGGTCAGAGGTCAGGATGACTGACCTGAACTCTCACCTGTGTGCCTGCCTCACCTGAGGAGAGCCTGGGCTTGTTTCTAACGTACCTTCTGCTTTGAATCCCAGCAGCTTGCGCGTCCTGTGGCGTTCGGCCTTGCTCAGCAGCTCTCCCACTTGCCCCTCGTCTTCAGGCGCTTCATTGTTGAACAGATGATACCTGTCCCCAAACTTCTTAACGACGTCTTGGAGCGGGCTTCTCTTAGACTGGCTGATGTGATCCTGCAGTGACACGTTCAGCTCATCTCCACCTGTGAAGAGCAGAAAGCTGTTTGCCAGACCTTCATCGCCAAGGACTGTGATGGCTGCCTGCACAGCCTCCTCTTCCTGATCTGTGAAACGACTAGTTGTAACCAGCACCAGGAACAGCAGAGGGGTGGAGGACTGCAGGAGACCCTGGCAGAAGGTTTTCAGTTCCTCTTTTGATTTGACAATTCCCGGAGTGTCGATCACTCGGATCAGCTTTCCTAAAATGGTTCCTGTTTTCTCTTGGATTGTCATCGTCACCGGTCCCCACGCTGCACTCAACTCAAACGCTGCTCGTCCTAAAATCGTGTTACCAGAAGCGCTCTTTCCCACTCCGCTGCGTCCCATCAGCACGACGGTGAGATCAGGACCTGGAGACTGAGCCATTCCTGGACCCAGATGTCAATCCACCGTCAGACGGAGTGACTTCTTCCTCCTCCTGAGGACACACAGAGGTCAGAGTGATGAAGAGCAGCATAATCACAGTCCTGTGTCACACCTGAGTGAGTTCAAGCACAAACACACATAAGTGCACTCGTTTTTCATTTTAGTTGTCATGGAGCAGCGGCCCCCACCTCCCTGTGCAGTCAGCCTTCAGTGTGCACAGGTATGCAG